AATATGATTCCCTATATTTAAATATCTACAGACCATCGTTTAAACTGGCACATCCGAAGCCATTGCGGGGGCAATTGAGACACCGTAAACAATAAAAAAAAAAACTGAATAATGCCAATTATCAACTCAGACCTTCAATATCTGGGTCGCATGGCAGGAGAAAACTGAGGGGTGTGGCAATTTATTCATAGTACAAAGAAGCCAATAGAAAAGTAAGAGGAATAAAACGAGGGCAAACACTCAATCGGCAGTATAAGATACTGACTCAATGTGTGCAATCGTTACGAGATACACGAAATAAATCACGTACATACCTTAATTCTTCCTAATAGGATTTACAGGTGGAAATAAAGGACGAAAAAAATCATTATAAGTAAAATATTGTTAGCTACTTGAACCTGTGTCCAAAATAATTGTTATATAATGTGGGTTACAAGCCAAGTACAACACTTCAACTATCCATCAGCGATTGAACGGGCGGTGGTTCTGGGAAAAATCGCAAACAACTTGCACTCGACAGCATTCTAATTACCAATTAAATAATACAAATAAAAAAAACTTCAGGTTCGTATCGTATGAGGCTAACCACACGACTGTAACATTAGACCTCGAAGAGTCGTAAAACGTCTCTTAGAAAACACAAAGAAGTGTGGTTGGTGGATACAGGTAGGGCCAGAAAAAAAAAAAACGGCGAATGAAAGAGATAGGCTACAAAAAAAAAAAAAAAAAAAAAAAAAAAAAAAAAAAGTTCGCCAAAGATGCAGTAAACTACTTGTAGAGTGCGCGGACTACTAGACTACTGGGATTGTCCCGTATCACCGTGTGCGAGTAGATTGCGCTGGACGCATGGCTCCAACTGTGTTGGAGCCATTCTTTGTGGCGTTGGTCCGTTGCTCGTGAGCCGCCATCTCTTGTATTGAAAGTCGAGAATACATGTCTAATGGGTGTGCACGGCGCAAAAGGGCTGGGGGTGGTAGACAAGGGTCGCAGACGGTGCTTCTGCTTATATATGAACTCACAACCATTCGCTTGTCTTCCACAACTCGGTCACGGATGTGTCCCCGTGCGCGAGCACTGGAGGCGGAGGGGCGAGGTTCGTTTAGTGATGGGGATTGTCGCGTCGTTTTTTTTTTTTTTTTGTTGTGGTTTTGGGTTTTTTTTTTTTTTTTTTTTTTTTTTTTTTTTTTTAAACTTTTTATTTAGTATTTTTTTTTAAAGAAAGGAGGAGGGGATTCGGTAGCTTCGGTTTAATTTAAAGCAGAAGTATATTCTGATCAAGTTAATCAGTCGTAGGAAAGACACTTCAAGAAAACCTATCAGTGTTCTACTTAATGATAACAAAGCTAAGAATATATTTCAAGAGCAACTAGAAAAATAGTAATGAAGCCCTGTATGTGATACCGTCTGAAGACAGCGTTGAATGGTATAAAAAAACTGTGTAAACAGCAGTGATATCTCCTAGTAAGGTAAATCATATGGTTGGGGAGAAGCAGTGGATTTCATTAGCATCTATCGAAATGATGGATGCTCTAAAGCTCATCTCGTCTGGGTCTGGGTACGATGTGGAGTGGAGTCAGCTCAGGCGCAGGCTGATAAAAAGCCTACGCAGTAATCGCGAATAGTGGTGGGCAGCGAAAGCGAGAGACATGGAAAAGGCAGCGATAATAGACAACAGTAGAAAACTGTTCAAACTTATCACGGAAACCGGTATTAGGAATTCGAATGTAAGTGAGACTATTTCGGAAAAGAGTAGGACTATTATTCATTCTCAATCCAGATTGGATCGATGGGGAGAACACTTCAGGGATCAGTTGAATTGGTCTTCAGCAACAATTCGGTTGCCCACGATCTCCAGCCATCCTGAATGGCCAGTCGACGTAAGCCCTCCGAATCTTAATGAAGTCGAAAAAGCTATAGGACATCTAAATCTAGGGAGAGCAGCAGGGCCGGATAGGCTTACACCTGAGATTTTTAAGGATTGTGGGCCAGTTTTATCCGTTAGATTGACGGAAATCTTAGATAGAATCTGTGAACTGGACGTGATCCCATCTAACTGGTCTCAGTCCTTGATTGTCCCAATTTGTAAGAAAGGACAAAAGTCATCTTGTGACGATCACAGACGAATGAGTTTAACTAACATAGTGTCGAAACTTTTGGCCTCTATAATACTTAGATGCCTAACTAGAGCTCGTGAAGAGAAGACTAGACAAAACCAGGCTAGTTTCAGACCTGGACGTGGCTATGTAGATCACACACTTGGATGAGTCCTGGAACACAGACACACATTAAGGCGTCTGACATTCGGATCCTGTATGAGCGTTTCGGAGACTTAGCGTACCTCAGTGGCATGAAATTCTGTAATCCAAGCTAAAATCTTGTGGGTATACTAAAAACTCCAAAATCTAGTTTAGAGCCGGGTTCTAGGAGATCAGGGATAATGTTTCGTAATTCGTAACGCTCACATCAGCGGCGCAAAGTGATGAAAGAATGGAAAAAGTAGAGAGTAGTTGTTTGGAGGTGCATGAAGCATTTGATTATTACTTGTTTAGTCTTGTATGCTGTTACGGGTATGGGGTAAGTCATTTCCCTGCTGCCAATACTGTGAAAAGGACTTTTTAAGGATCCTGAAAAGTAAATCGGGATGGCATTGGTCGTAACGACCTTGGAATGTGACCTCAAAGGCTAATGAAAATTGTCTGATCCTGTTCACGCACCGCCTTATTACATTGGCTTTCAGGAGAACCAGACATTGTCCTGGTGTTAGCACTACAACCTGAACTGTACAGCTCAATCCTGCAGCGCAACCGCCAAGATATCTAACACCCTGGTGTGCCATTCACACTATTTTCATACACCAATATATATGGTGGTTATTTCTGTCCCTTGATCGCGTCATTCAATATTCACAGCATGAACAAGCCAATTTGACCCATCCCAGTTACATGACTGTCAGGCTCATTATTATTAGCAATGGTAATATTCATTGCATCGTCCCAATGACAATGGACCTCGGGGATGTTGCAAAACACTCACCGGTATCCATGAAATCGATTACCTTGCAAACCAAATGTGTGTATGAATTATTGGCAAAACTTTCCAAAGTAATGCCAAACCACCCACCTTGTTCATCACGAAGCTCTGGTCTCACAGGAAATCTTAATCTCTATATAGCTCATGTTATTTACATCGTATGACATGGGGTAGTAAGAGCTGCTGCCCAACTTGATGCAGATGGGTTTAAACACAGTTATTGCCTTATGTTTGATGTCGAGACAAAGTTTTATCGCAGTAGCGGAATTTTTATTTTCCCAACCATATGAGACCTGAGTTAGGGCTTTAGTATCTTTATGATAAACTGCTAAAATGTATTATTTGTTTTGTACAAATCTTTCTACCTGAATCTCTTTTATTTTTTAAAAATTTTATCTCATGTATCAGGTTTATAAAAACTATTCAAATAAATTTCTAAAATTATTTCTTCACTCATTTTTATTGTACTAGAAAATACAATTTTAATGGTTTATTTTTTGTTCACTAAGTGTATTCATTTCAATTGAATGTATTATATAAATGGAAAGTACTTCTGGAACAAAATTCTCATTCGATACATAAATGAATATGGTGAATACGAGAAGTCAGTTTTGTCTAAGTTGCCGTCAATTATTATTGCTTTTCTTGGTATCAGTCTATTCGTACATGGTTTTCTATTGAATCGATCTGAGCTAAATAATGAAGCGAATTCAGAACTGAAATTGTCAGTGAAGTATCCTTCAAAGGTTGTTAAAAATCATAGAATTATCCTTCTGCTTGTCGATGCATTGGCTTATGAATTTATACAAGACAATAATAATCACAACCAACTACTTGGTCATTTTTCTCCAAATTTTCAAAATCCCTATCGTTCACTACTTCACAGTTTATCTGAAGCCGTATTTATTGGAAAGTTTATCGCAGATCCACCAACAACTACGTTACAACGTTTGAAAGCTCTAATGACAGGTAGTATGCCAACATTCATCGATGCAGGTTCGAATTTCGGCGGAAACAAAGTTCTGGAAGATAGTTTATTAAGACAATGGAATAAGGCTGGTAAACAAATTCGATTTGTTGGTGATGAAACTTGGATTGATTTGTTTCCTGACTAGTATGTTTTTTGATGTTAAATATCTGTGTGTCTAATAGTAGTGATGAAGTTCTTGATGAAGCGTGTGACAACCATAATCCCAACATTTCAAAAGTAATAATAAGACCGGTTTTCATAGTTAATTACCCATCCGCCATCATTGGAAGAAAGTTATTTTGAGCTTGTATTCACAACATATTACTGAAATTGACTAATATCGAGGCAAAAGGTCTTTACAATCGATGCTTATTCAAGCTGTTGGGTTGGATGATAGTTGGCCTAAAATTCAACTTATTCTATTATTTGTTTTGATTGTTTAGCAGAGCACTACATATATTTGATACGAACAAAACTTAATTATTTTCTAAGCTGAATTACTACGGACATTTTCCGTTATGTAATCTAAAAACGGTTAGTCTCCACGAGTTATTAAAATATTTTTTACTTTGTACTTTGCTTACACACCCACTTCAGCGACGTAACAGTTGATGTTACCATGAGCCCAAAGTGACTTTTTAGATGCTAACATGAACGAATGTTATTCTCGAAACTTGATAACCTTGCTGAACTGTTTCACCTGTTCGAGTATTTACAGGAAGCAGACCTGTTGTGTTACGTCTCATACAGAGCACTTAAGAGCTTATATATTATTTCGATCGTTTTGTGATTTCGATAAGTATTTTATAACATTTTGGGTGCAACTTAATCCTCACCTATGTGTTAGATCAGTCGCCTTTTCTGTTGATCATGGTTAAAGTTACTTAGCAGAGTTACTAGAGTATATTTACCTTCAGTGTAATATCACTGCATACTTATAACATTGGCATCTTTTTATTGACTTGTGAAGACAAGCAAATCATAATATTGTTGTGTCTTTCACCAATGATTTATACATTTCTGGTTCTGTGCATATACACTTCTGTTAATGTAGTCTGATATTTACTGCACTGGATTTTGTTATCTTTCACTTAGTTTTTCGTTTTAACTTACAGTTTCACCCATTATAAAACTTACTCATCATTCAATGTCAAAGACTTGGATACAGTTGACCGAGGTGTTGAAAACTACTTTCTTCATGCCCTTGACAATACTACATGGAATGGGAATAATGAAGTTGTTGATAATCAAGCACAACAAGCTGATTGGGATATTCTTATTGGACATATGCTAGGGATAGATCACTGTGGGCATACGTTTGGACAAAAACATCCAGAGATGATAAGAAAGTTGAATGAACTAAACAGTTTTATAAAGTCAGTTGAAGATTATGATTAATATTATCATCACATGTCATAGGTTAATAATAATGTAATATAATATAATATAATATAACTCACTTATCAGATACAAGTTTATGTACTTTACTGCTCGAAGTGAAGAAGTTAGGACAACGTTCTTAGGATATTTTCAAAAAAGTTCACTCACCGCAATTCTTTACTTCAAGTGGTGTCCGTCAGATATGTTCACTTTCTACATACTTGTTTAATTTTATCATAGACATGCTCCTAGAAATAGCCTTATCCTCGTCTGAATTTTCATGAGTAGACCTTCTACCAGGTGGCTCGCTTATTGACATAGTCCTACTTGGTGAAGATGCTGAAAAAGTGCAGAGTCTTCTGATTACCCTAAGCAACAATGCAAGCATGTTCGGGATGCGGTTTTTCCCCTTGAAATGCAAAATGTTGCTTCAAGATTGGGTTTCATCGGCACCTGAACTAGTGATAGGGAGTGAAATAGTCGAGCTTGTTGACCGCTTCACTTATCTTGGGAGTCTCATCAGTGCCGATGGCCTGTTGACTGACGAAATCTCAGCTCGGATACAGAAGGCTCGATTGGCTTTTGCCAACCTGCGTCACTTATGGCGTAGGCGAGATATCCGTTTGTTGGCTAAAGGACGAGTGTACTGTGCAGTAGTTCGCCCCGTCTTACTTTATGGCTGTGAAAAATGGCCAGTGAGAGTAGATATTCGTAGGGTACTGGTTTTCGATCATAGGTGTCTCCGAAGCATTGCTCGTATATCCTGGGACACCCGAGTAAGCAATGTTGTCGTTAGGAAACGAGTACTAGGTAAGGATGGCAAATCAATAGATGAATTATTGAAACTTCATCAGTTGAGGTGGTTGGGACATGTGTTACGTATGGCTAACGACCGACTGCCTCGACGACCTTTGTTTTGTAGTGTAGGAATAAGTTGGAAGAAATCTAGGGTTGGCCAGACCAAAACATGGCAGAAATCCATGAAGTCATTGATGAGTGGACTGAGTCATGTCAGTAGTTGTCGACTACCTGGTTGGGGTCCGCGAGATATTAGTAATCCATGGTTAGATATGGCTCAAAATCGTTTGCAGTGGAGCAGGTGCATTTATTCTTTGTGTTCTCTCAAATCCTAATCTTCTAGATTCTTCAACCCCTGTAGTTTTGACTTTCTAAACTTTTCTCATTGAATCATACTTCATGAATAATATCTTCTAATCCTAACCTCTCCGATTACTTTTAATACCCTTACTACCTCTTCTACTATTTGATTTGAATTGACAATTATATCTCTGCGCTGATGTGGTATGGCAATATGAACCGATGTACTTACGTACGAAGTTCTACGTTGCATCTGACTGATTGACCGACTGACTGACAGGCTTCGTTAGGTAGGACATTAGAATCTCACTCAATTGATGTATGCAGCGTCTCGGAAACGCGCATACAGGATCCTAATAAAGTCTTTAATCTGATTTCGCCTTGTCAGAGCAAAGAAGCAACCCGATTTACTCTTCGTGTATCCGGTAGCACTGATGCTGCTTCCAGGGGTCTTGCTGGTGTAGGTTATAGCATTGAGTCCTAGGGCAGAACTATCTCTCCTAGACCAGATCCCTGTATATAGTCGATTGTGCGCTGTCTGACTAAACGGGACAGTAAGGACTCGGAAAGATAGGGACACCCGTCGTCGCCCCTTCATTGTATCTGCTCCTATGCCCCCACTGACTGCAGTTCAGACGACGTTAAAGATGAGTTTTACAGAACGCTTTCGGACCTCCTCCAAAAAGTTAGGCACTCTGACGTAGTAATAATGGCTGGTGACTTTAATGCTCAAGTAGGTAGACTGAGTGAAAATGAAAGACACCTAGGTGGTAAGTTCATACTATTCTAATATATTGACAACACTCACATAACCAGTTCCACACCAGAAGAAAAAAGCGTATGTTAACAAATGACGCTATGATTTTCACTGAAAAGAAAACGAGGTTGCACACCAATATCATGAAATAAATATGTAGACAAAACTTATAGAGGAGAATATACATATGGGTTCGTAGTCATTAAAAAGTTCACACATTAAAAAGCTGCACAGTGTGTGTAAAAACAAATCAGAAAATCGAGAATATCCTAATATTGAAAAATCTGTTATGGACAAACTCTGCAGTCTTTCATAAAAAATTCTAGATATTATACGTAATTCTGTTGCCAGGCTTATGCTTAATTGTAATTCAGAAACAGCCAACTTTCGTTCAAGAACTTCAGTCAGTTAGTCAGTCAGTCACATCGTTGAAGTTCGTGCCTACGTACATTAGTTCAAGTTGCCATACCACATTATCACAGAAATGTCATTGTTTATTCAAATCTCATAGTAGTTGAGGTAGCAGAAGTATAAGCAGTAATTGGAGAGATTAGGATTCAAGAAGTATAATCTCGTGAAATAAACTTAAAAAGAAAGAGATAAAAGTGATGAAGAATCCAGACGATAAGTATTTGAGTGAACACTAATAATGGATGCACCTGTTCCATTGCAAACGGTTTCGAGCCATGTCATTCAAGATCTCTAACCATCGATTATTATCATCTTACGGAACCCCAACCAGGTAGTCTACACTCACCATGAACTTATTGTTAATCTAATATTGTTGGATAGATTATCGATTCTATATTTTCTTGCACGTTTTACATTCAGAAATCAGAGAGTGGTCCCATATGAAGGTGATCTAACTCAATGTCCGGACATTATCACAGCCTTAACAAATATGATGTGATGTAGTTATGTAGAATGGTTTTTTCAGCACCTTCATTACTCATTCAATGTTTGTAATTTTCATATTAAAGATGAACTTATTTTACGTTGATTTAGCATCCTACCTAGTTTTATCCCCATTATGTGAATACCATTATTCTCCTACCTGTCTTTGATGGAATTTTCATTCCGCTTAAATGTTAGCAAACAGTTTTGTGCATTGTGATCTGTGTTCTTTCCGCTATGTATACTCATTTCTTTCCAGACATATTGTTTCTAAACTTCAATCTTCCGACATCCTGTTTATTTTGGGTGACCATGGAATGACACAATCAGGTGATCATGGTGGAGATAGTAACGCCGAACTGGAAGCTGCTTTGATCGTTTTTACTGCTGATCAGGGTTCACTTACCATAAAAAATGATTCAAAAAAACAAACAAATAAACGATTAAGTCAAATAGATCTTGTGCCGACGTTATCACTCCTAACTAATGTTCCAATACCTTATTCAAACTTGGGCATACTATCTAACGATCTGCTAGTAAATGGAGCTAACCTTCATCAGGGCATGGTATTAAATTTTATACAGGCAAGTTCGTATTTATGGTTTACTGCTAATGATTTTATTATCAAAACAAACCATTATATTAGCACTGTATGTATTTTGTTGGTCAGTTCAGCTATCAAGAGTACATTGTTTATTTGATCGAAATCATTTCGATCACCGAACCACACAAAAATTTGTCAATCTAAGTCATCACACTTCTTGAATATGAAAGAAAAATACTTGCTAGCAGTGAAAGAAAACTACCAATACTATAAACTGGCAAAAAGCTAAAAGTGGAGTCACTTTACTTTATGTAATGCATTTTCTACACTCTATTGCACTAGTCTTTTTCAGTGACAGTAATAAAAACAATCCCAAATAATATAATTCTGTCAATGGTTTGAAATTTCAGAACTTTTTAGATTAAGAAGGCATTCTAATGAATTAATTTTATTCCATTGAAACTCACACAGAAGCCGTTTAACTCTATCATAGTCAATTTCAGTAATATGTTGTGAATACAAGCTCAAAACAACTTTCTTCCAATGATGGTGGATGGGTAATTAACTATGAAAACCGGTCTTATTATTACTTTTGAAATGTTGGGATTATGGTTGTCACACGCTTCATGAAAAACTTCATTACTATTAAACATAAAAACATTTCAAAGTTTTTCGTTTTAAATATTAGGTTAATACATATGAGCAAACAATATTGTTTTCAGTCAGAGCGTCATCAAACTTTACTGTAATATTCATTTGCTTAGATGTTTTTTCTGATATAAATATATGACATCAATCAACGGACCATTCAGGAAACAAAACAATCCAATTTTCGTTTCTAGTCAGTGGAATTTTCATTGTTCAAAATGAGTTGGCCGACAGTGAATCCCAATAATCTGTATGTTGTTCCTTGATGACCTGAGAATTGTCATCTCTACACTTTCACAACCCTAAAATAGAGAATCGAACTCAGATTCTTCAGTCAGGCTTGTTGATGATTGTGATCTAACTAATTGATCTCCATAACTATTGGTTTCAATCAGTCAGCTACAACATAGAACTTCAAACATACCTACAGCAATTAGTTCAAGCTACCATACCACATAACTCCGCCAGTAGAACCTTCGGGGCTACTGCCGGTCCCAAGCCCGGGTAAAGGAGGAGGGTTGGACATGGGGTTGGCGACCCCATTCCGTCAAAAACTAACTTGCCAAAAAAACGCTAACCAGAAAAAATAATTCAAACCATTTTAACTCTGCCCTGGGAGTTGGAGGAAGAATTATGACGTCGCGTGATGAAAGCAGAGTTCCCTCGGAAGTCACGGGACTGATGCCTCTTCTGACAACCAGAGCAACCATTCCTTTAGGTACATGGAACGTTCGTACATCGTGGGAGACTGGAAGACTATTTCAAGTTGCGGCAGAAATGAAAAGATACAACCTCGAGGTGCTTGGAATCAGTGAAACACATTTTACACAAGTAGGACAACTGAGACTAGCTTCAGGGTAACTGCTGTTATACTCTGGTCATGAAGAAGAAAATGCTTCACATACACAAGGAGTTGCATTGATGCTGTCCAAACATGCACAAAAGGCACTAATAGGATGGGAATCTCATGGACCCAGGATCATTAAAGCATCCTTCAAAACAAAGAAAGAGTACATTACAATGAACGTCATCCAATGTTATGCACCTACCAACGACTACAATGACGACGATAAAGATCAATTCTACGAAAGGCTGCAGTCAATCGTCGAGAAATGTTCACCAAAGGATCTGACGATTCTTATGGGAGACCTGAATGCCAAGGTTGGAATGGATAACACTGGATATGAAGACATCACGGGACGACATGGACTGGGAGAAAGAAACGAAAACGGTGAGAGATTTGCAAACCTATGTGCCTTCAACAAACTGGTCATCGGTGGCACAATATTCCCGCACAAACGCATACACAAAGCTACATGGATTTCACCGGATCACACTACTCAAAACCAGATTGATCATATCTGTATCAACAAAACGTTCAGAAGGACTATGGAGGATGTGAGAACCAAGAGAGGAGCTGATATAGCCTCAGATCACCACTTGCTGATCGCCAAAATGAAACTGAAACTAAAGAAGCATTGGACAACGGGACAGACAACATCACACAAGTTTAATACGGCCTTTCTTCGGGATACTGTAAAGCTCAACGAATTCAGGATAGCCCTCACCAATAGGTTCCAGGCCTTTCAGGATCTACACAATGGAGAGGACGCAACATTGGAGAACAATTGGAAAGGGATTAAGGAGGCAATCACTTCAACATGTCAGGAGGTCCTTGGTCGCAAGAAGCATTATCACAAGGAATGGATCTCTGTTGATACTCTCGCAAAAATTGAAGAAAGGAAGAACAAGAAGGCAGCAATCAATGTCAGCCGAACAATAGCATAGAAAGTTACCGCACAAGCTGCATACACAGAAGCAAACAGGCAAGTGAAGAAGAGCATCAGAGCTGACAAACGAAAATATGTGGAAGATCTAGCAATGACGGCGGAAAAGGCTGCAAGAGACGGAAACTTGAGACAATTGTACGAAACAACAAAGAAGCTCGCCGGGAACTATCGTAAACCAGGACGACCAGTGAAAAGCAAGGAAGGCAAAGTAATCAGCAACACTGAAGAACAGCGAAATGGGTGGGTGGAGCACTTTAAGGAACTCCTAAATCGACCAGCTCCTCTGAAGACACCCAACATCGAAGCAGCATCCACGGACCTCCCAATTAATATTGGCGCACCTACGATTGAGGAGATCAGTATGGCCATCAGACAAATCAAGAACGGCAAAGCAGCAGGACCAGACAACATTCCAGCAGAGGCAATGAAAGCAGATGTGGAAGCAACTGCGAAAATATTTCACATTCTCTTCAAGAAGATTTGGGATGAGGAACAAGTACCATCAGATTGGAAAGAAGGATACCTGATCAAAATACCAAAGAAAGGCGATCTCAGCAAGTGTGAGAACTACAGAGGCATCACTCTTCTTTCAATACCAGGCAAAGTCTTCAACAGGGTAGTGAGAAAATGAATGAAGGACTTCGTGGACGTCCAACTTCGAGATCAACAGGCCGGATTTCGTAAGGATCGATCGTGTACTGACCAAATCGCTACATTACGGATCATGGTGGAACAATCAATTAAATGGAACTCAACACTCTACATCAACTTCATCGACTACGAGAAAGCATTCGATAGCGTGGATAGGAAAACACTATGGAGGCGGCTTCTTCGACAATACGGTGTGCGTGAGAAGATAGTTAACATCATACGGAATCCTCATGATGGATTCAACTTCAAAATCATGCACGAAGGACAGATGACAGACTCTTTCGAGGTGAAGACCAGTGTCAGGCAAGGTTGCATACTCTCACCCTTTCTCTTTCTCCTGGTCATCGACTGGATTATGAAAACGTCAACATCTGGAGGGAAGCACGGTATCAACTGGACAGTTAGGACGCAGCTGGACGATCTGGACTTCGCAGATGACCTGGCTCTTCTATCTCACACACAACAACAAATGCAAGAGAAGACGACGAGTGTAGCAGCAGCCTCTGCAGCAGTAGGTCTCAACATACATAAATGAAAAAGCAAAATTCTCCGATGCAACACAAGATGCACCAACCAAATCACGCTTGATGGAGATGCTTTCGAGGACGTTAACAACGTTACATATCTGGGCAGCATCATCGACGAGAAAGGTGGATCGGACGCAGATGTGAGTGCGCGGATTGGCAAAGCGAGGTCTGCATTTATACAGTTGAAAAATATCTGGAACTCTAAACAACTTTCAACCAAAACCAAAATCAGGATTTTCAATACAAATGTCAAGACAGTTCTACTGTATGGAGCGGAAACATGGAGAACTACCAAAGCCATCATTCAGAAGATACAAGTGTTTATTAACAGCTGTCTACGCAAAATACTTCGTATTCGTTGGCCAGACACCATCAGCAACAATGAACTGTGGGAGAGAACAAACCAGATTCGAGTGGAGGAGGAAATCAGGAAGAAGCGGTGGAAGTGGATAGGACACACACTACGAAAAGCACCTAACTGCGTCACGAGACAAGGCCTCACATGGAGCTTCAAGGCAAAAAGAAAAGAGGAAGGCCAAAGAATACATTACGCCTAGAAATAGAGAAGGATATGAGAGGAATGAACAAACATTGGACAGAACTGCAGAGGGAAGCCCAGGACAGAGTTGGTTGGAGAAAACTGGTGGGCGGCCTATGCTCCATTTGGGGTAACAGGCGTAAGTAAGTAAGTAAGTAAGTACCATACCACATTAGCACACAGACTCCATTGTCAACTCAAATTCCATATTAGTATAGGTGGGAGAAGTATAAGCTCTTATCAAAAAGACTATTGATCGAAAAATCATTCGAGATATATTCCAACCGTTGCTGCTACCTTGATGTCGTGGTCGGGCTTGCCTGTCGTCATGACCCAACCGAGCTATATCGGCGGGAACATATGTTCCTGTAGGTTCTACCATGCCAGGCAAGTCGACTGGAGAACGATGAAACTAAAAGTAGCTACTCCAGGTCTGAGGGCGAAGTCGCACTGCTGACTGTAGACAGGTGTGACAGCAGTTAGGTGTTTCCCTCGGACAACCAACATCTGCAGCGATGCTGCCTACTCAATAGGGAAGAAGGGGTTGGAAAAGATCGACCATAAAAATGTCACACCTCACCCTACCTCACGGATTTCTGTCGCCGGCGGTAAGGGTTCACACTAAGGGCTTTTAAAAAAGAGCGGAGCTAATGCTCAAAAAACCTTTAATAAAAAGGCCGTGCGTGACCGCCCTCAAGCAGTTGTTCCTTGGGCTCTGCGGTCACACTCCCAGGTCGTTAAGACCAACGCTAATCTACCTTCCTTTTCTGGTTCGTCAAGAAACACCCTTCCACGGTGTGGGCAGCCGGGAAGTGACAACTGCCCTCATACCCGTAACAACATGCGAGATCAAATCGGTCAAAAATAAATCCTTCCTACACCCCCTAACATCTCTTTCATCACCCCGTACCGCTGATGCAAACGATTCGAGTTCCCAAAACGTTATTCCTGGTCTCCTGAAACCCTGTTCTAAATAACATATTGGGGCTTTTAATGTCCGGCTATTGTGTCAAATAGGGCAACAGGTTTCCTTAACTAAGACATTAGAATCTCGCTCAATCGATGTATGCTGCGTATCGGAAACGCGCATACAGGATCCTAATAAAGTGAATAATTTGATTTCACCTTGTCCAAATCAAGAAGCAGGTCTATCTTATGGTGTCACGGTTAAGAGAACTGATAATGGCTACCGTCTGTTACAACTGTGCTCAGATAACGGCCTTTTCCCAGCAAACACTAACTTTAGGCATAGGGAAAAACATCTCTTGACCTGGCGACCCTATTCCAAAGTCGTCTCAACGTTGGATCCAACTAGATCACTTCGCCATCAGCTACCGATGGAGGGGTTCGATAGTAGACTGTCGCTCGTTCTGGGATGTAATTGTCAATTCAAATCTAATAGTAGTAGAGGTAGTAAAGGTATTAGAAGTAATCGGAGAGGTTAGGATCAGAAGATATTATTCAAGAAGTAGAATCTGGTGAAGTAGACTTAAAAGGATAAAGATAAAGTGATGAAAAATTGTTAGGTTTAGGATTTGAGAGAACACAAAGAATAAATGCACCTGCTCCACTGCAAACGATTTTGAGCCATATCTAACCATGGATTACTAATATCTCGCGGACCCCAACCAGGTAGTCGACAACTACTGACATGACTCAGTCCACTCGTCAATGACTTCATGGATTTCTGCCATGTTTTGGTCTGGCCAACCCTAGATTTCTTCCAACTTATTCCTACACTACAAAACAAAGGTCGTCGAGGCAGTCGGTCGTTAGCCATACGTAACACATGTCCCAACCACCTCAACTGATGAAGTTTCAATAATTCATCTATTGATTTGCCATCCTTACCTAGTACTCGTTTCCTAACGACAACATTGCTTACTCGGGTGTCCCAGGATATACGAGCAATGCTTCGGAGACACCTATGATCGAAAACCAGTACCCTACGAATATCTACTCTCACTGGCCATTTTTCACAGCCATAAAGTAAGACGGGGCGAACTACTGCACAGTACACTCGTCCTTTAGCCAACAAACGGATATCTCGCCTACGCCATAAGTGACGCAGGTTGGCAAAAGCCAATCGAGCCTTCTGTATCCGAGCTGAGATTTCGTCAGTCAACAGGCCATCGGCACTGATGAGACTCCCAAGATAAGTGAAGCGGTCAACAAGCTCGACTATTTCACTCCCTATCACTAGTTCAGGTGCCGATGAAACCCAATCTTGAAGCAACATTTTGCATTTCAAGGGGAAAACCGCATCCCGAAAAACCACCTCAACTGATGAACGCTCACCATTTCATCTATTGATTTGCCATACCCAGTATCTTTTTCTTAACCACAGCATTGTGTACTCGACTGTTCGAGGATATACGATCGGTGCCTCTTTTACGATATTCATCAAATATCTTAAGAATTATTTTTGTAAATCTAATTCTATGGGTCAATTTCTTACTGGTCAATATTATGGTCGTCCTAGCTATTTGTTGTTTCCCATTGGTCCTCCTTACTATCAATATCACTTCAAATGTTTTTTCCTGTTGGCCGCCTTAACTGTCAATGTTACAGACTTCAAGGCTGTCTCCTATTTTACCTAACTGTACAAATACGCATAATCTGTAACCTTTCATGACCTGGACCCGGATCCTTAGTGCGGGATCTTGATTCTTTTCTGGAATCGGACCTCGTACTTTCTGGATGCTTGTAGAATACAGGTTATACTTCATATCAAGTCTTCTTTTACTCAAAGGGTTGTTCGGTCACTCGGATAGAGTAGCATGTTGTGTCTCCGGATCATCCATCATCTCTCTCGTTTTCCGACTAAGGTAAACTCGTAATAGTTCAAGCATATCTAATTGACATGTTTACGTGCCTGCGTAACTGCTTCGAACCGAATTGCATGGCACTTGTATCGATCCTCACGATAAACAGAGTCAAATGACTCCTAAGAACGTGGAATGCAACTATTGCCGGACGTCTAAATTTGTGTTTCCTAGGACAAGTCCATATGTGAGTATTTAGTCTGTACATCCAGGTCCAGATCTGAATCCAGCCTGGTTTTCTCGAGTCCGTTGTTCAAATGCTCTAGTTAGGCATCGAAGTATTATTGAAACTAATATTTTAGACACTAAATTAGTTAAGCTAATTTCTCTGTTTTTGTCAAAAGAGGACTTTTGTCTTTTTTTGTAGACTGGGGCGATCATTGATTGCGACCAGTCGGATTGGATTACATCCAGTTCACAGATTCTAGCTAAGACCTCAGTTAATTTCATTGTTTAAACTGAACCACCATCCTGTTATAGGTATGAGGACGGATGTACCTTCCCAGCTGCCCACACCGTGTAGGGTGCTTCTTAAGGAACCTGAAACGGAAGCATGATTAGCGTTGTTCAAAGATACCTGGGAGCATAGATATCGTATGATAACTGCTTGAGGCCAGTCACACACGGCCTTTTCGTAGGATTATTGTGGTGTCGACTTTTTTTTAACTTCTTCCTTCCTTTTGAGAGGTCAGCAGCGTTGCAGATGCTGATTGGCCGAGGAGAACACATTACGGCTGTCACGCCCCTCTACAGTCATCATTGCAACTTCGCGCTCAGACCTTGGGTTGCTGCTTTTAGTCTTTCCGTTCTCCAATCGACCTGCCTGGCACGGCGGAGCCTTAAGGAACCTATGTTCGAGCTAATATAGTTCGGTTGTGTCATGACGATCGGTAAGCTCGACCACTAATTCAACGTAGCTGCTACGGTTTGATGTCTATATTAAGTCCACGTTATTACGTAACGATTTAATTTTGAATTCGGTCGGTAATAACTGTCATTTGTCATGGTTAAACTCATCTGGTCATGGCTTCTCGCTGGAACTATGGACTTAGTCTTGCATTTAGTTGTTATGATGATACACAGTGCCAAGATACAAAAATGATAAATTCTTATTTCTTCATATGATTGCTTGAACTGGAAGGCAAAGAGCAGAAAATGCTCTGTTTGACTGCCGAATAATATGAACAAATACTCTTGTACCCATATGTATTCACTTCCTTAGAAAAGGCCATTTCTTAACCAATGATATGCATTCGTCTTTTAGGATATTTTCTGATGGTCATATAATAGGCTTCTGATTGGCTCAGTATTCAATTAATCACACTGATGAAAACGTCTTCATTATCGATATAGGTGTTCGTAGAGATAGTATAACTTTTAAATTTCGACAAAATTTCTATTATTTTTCTTTAAAAAATTATTCAATATAATGTTTTATCGTTTTAGTTGTATACAATAGATAATGTTTGATTAATTTCTCACTTTTATTTTTTTTTTGCATAGATGTTTACATACACTGCCAATTATTTTTACAACATAAGTAAATTGCCACTTTCCCCAATGCTTTTTTCTTATATGAATCGTATCAAAGAGAGTTCATCTTATGACTGGGTGGAACAATTGAATGATGTAGAGTTAGTAAATATTCTCAAAGAATTACAATCTATATTTCGCGTTAATTGGACTCAATTCAATGAATTACGTATATTCCTTGGCATACTTCTCACAAGTTTCAGTTTAATCACTCTTGCACTGTCAATTGAAAAAATTTACAATATTCATGATTTGAATATTAGTAATATTTGTTTATTGTTTGCTTGTTTATTGTCATTTTTATGCATGAATGTATGTTATTCAAAAATTTTATTATATTTTATTATTCTACTATTGTTAATCTTACCTTGTATTATATATGTAAGCAATAATTTTTCAAAATTATTATTATTATTATTATCAAATTTTAATAATATATTCAATGGCAATTTTGTCAGTTTCATTTTATTGCTTTTATTTTCTACAAGTTATTTATCGAATAGCATAATTATCTATGAATTTCATGTAACATTTTTTTTAATTCAAAGCATTAATATCATGTTTTTAGTTTATTCATTCATTTCTATGTACCGTGTGCCTGATGTTACTTCGTATAGCATTAATCATATTGGTTTGAAATTTTTTCGAATATTCTCATTTCTTCCTCATCTTTCATGTATGGTTCTACTTTTGCTAGGACTTTTGCTATGGTTTCGTTTATATATTCGACATTTTTCAGTTTGTCGTGAAGAAATAAGTTTCAGAACTTCATGTCGATCTACGCTTGATCCATGGATTGCAAAACCTTTGAGTAAATTAAATCCTATTAACGAATTCAATCCAGTTGGTGTAGTACGTGTGACTGTTGCTATTTTAATGTTAATCACATTTTTGTACATTTATTGGCGACTATTATTTGATTATCAAAAACTTTTTATAGGTATAAATCAGTTGAATAAAATTAGTTGGAGAAAATTTAGTTTATTTATACTAATTGGCAGTTTGTTTTCGTTGTTATGGATGGTGGATTCCGCTGAATCAAATAATTGGATTGGATTCATTCGAAAACATAACTTGTAAGTTGTTTTTAGTGGTTATTTATCTGTTCAGATAGAATGACTACATAATTTTTTCTCATCTATTGTTTTTCAAATTGTTTACGGGATAAAATTTTTCAATTGGAGCCATGGAGATCAATGTTTTTACACATTGAAATCATCAGTCGATCTTCGTTAGACCACTACTAGTAACCTGAAAGCACTGGGTGACCGTTTCGCTCTCGTGTGTGACTCATCAGCAGTGCGCATCTTGAAAAAAATCGTACAATGTGCTCATTGGTGACCAGCGTCAGTAGGAAATTCTTGGTGTTCTTCTAGCGAGAAGACATGATCAGTTGAGTTCAATCCTGTCGGGTGTAGGCAGTAACTACCGAAAACAAATGAATGAGGTCGCGCCCAATCCGTACATTAATTATAGTTAGACATTAACACCGTTGGATGGTCCAGATGTTATTCATTCGCGCGCCGGAACAAAGGTGCTAGGTTAAAATCCTGCGAGTAGCAGGAGTTGTTGATACGCACTGCTAATGAGTCCCAGGACGAAATGACTGTCTAGTGCTTCCAGGTTTCTAATGATGGTCTAACAATGATTGTTTGATGATTTCAATGGATAAATTTTTGTCAAAAAATAACATTTCTGTTCCGTATTTTCTAAATCTCATCAGTCCTATTTATCGTTGATTTGATGATGATACTGTGATGATATTGTGTAGTTTTATTTTACTTTTTCTACTCGATATTAAGCTGTGCTTAATTTCTTTGTCATATCTTAGTTCACACAAGCAAATCAATTTTACAAATGAAAAGATTCAATTATAATTAACAATAAGATGAAATAAATTTTTTACTTCCAATTGACAATGTTTAGATAAGTAAAAAAAAAAACAAAACAAGAAAATTACACAATTAAACATGGGTAGCTAGCTGTTCAATGTGTCTTTCTAAGTAGATGGGGATAGATTGTGTTATTTAAATTTTGTTGAAAAGTTTTATAAAAAGTATAATATTATGATTGTATTATTTCTAGATAAAGGTGTTAATGGTGAATCAATTGGCTCAATGCATAAATCCTTTCCATATTATTATTATTATTATTATTATTATTATTGTTATTATTGTAAATTAGTTTTGTTAATCAATTCGAATAAATAAATATTCAAATATAGTGTGTGTGCGTGTGTGTGTGTTTGTTGATTAGCAGCAGTAACAGCAGGATATTTTCAATGTGCTGACTGACGACGACGGCGACAACTACTGTTTATAATTTAGTTGTTTTATTTAATTGTTTTTTTTAAAAAAAATATTTTTGTGCACTGATTTATCTTATTCCGAGTGTTTATAATAAATAATAAAAGCATAGACAAAAACAATCATTAATAATAATAATAATAATAATAATAAATACTATTTATTGATGTGTCAAATGAACTTTTCTTTTTTGTTTTTGTTATTTTTTTTGTTTTTGTTAGACATACTATACGAATTTGGATTGCTCGTATTTTATTGATCATTATATTCTATGTATTTTTTCAACTTGTAAAATGTCCATTTCATTTTGTGCAACAAATACAATTTATAAATTCTATTCAATCTAATCATTGTAAACAATGGATTGAAAGAATTCTACTAAATCTATACACTTTATGGTCAATGACCTGTTTCACAATCTTACCATTACTTTCTTTACTTATTTTCCTAAATGAATTTCATATAATTTGGTTAGTTTTTTACACTATTTTCATTCAAATATTTACACATAGAAATTTGAAAAAATGTAATCATATGAATCAATGTATGGAAAGTGAGTTTGATATGATAATCTTTTGTAATATATTGCATACCATTTATCTATCTATCTATCTATCTATCTATCTATCATATATATATATATATATATATATATATATATATATATATATATATATATATATATATATATATATCTCCAATCATCAATTTATAAATAAAACATACTTATCGCACCGACTCTAATCATGATAGTCTTCAATTACAAAGTTGAGTTATGGGTTTGTTACATATTCGCAACATATATCCCATTCACAAATGATGAGAATGAACAAACTCATCCACTAATTTACCACCATTATTTTGTTCATCTGAATCATATAAAAGAGCAAAACATATCTCTAAAGATTCTATTATATTCAGCTATTCAGCACGTTTAAGATGCGCTAACAATTTGTTATCTTGTTATCGGACAAGATTTTGATAAATGAGATTAATCTTTGAATAATCCGATAGGAAAGATTCTATCTCAAAAAGAATGTCCTTGACAAAATCGTATCAACATGGCATGAGTAAACAACTCTGATAAACCGTTTTTGGTGTTTTCAATCCCTATCACAGTCAAAATGTTTATTATCTAACTCGAAACCGTATAGCTGTCTAATGGTTTACGTGGTTATCATCTACGTTGGATAGATAAACTTTTACATTTTACAATATTTTTATTCAAATCTTCTGTAGATGTACATGTTCTACTTTTTTAATAGATATATTTCATGTATTTTAAATCTCTCTTAATAACTTTTCGATTTAAAATGATATCGTCTTGTAATCAATCGTATATTTGTTCTCGGTATAGCTTGTAATGACGCTGACATGTCATTAATTTGTACTGATTTTTTGGTTTTCCTTTCTGTTGGGGACGTTAGACCCCCTAAACTCACTCGGGAGAGGTCCTCATTTAGTAATTTTATTCTGAAATTTTCAATTTTTATGTTTTCGAGCTAGTTGACATTCAGCTGACATTTCCCACTCGGAAAATTCTTGACTTTCATTGGGTGATGGATTATTTTAGTACTCTATTTGGTAGCTCTCTAAAGGGTGTCTCTATCATTGTATAAATAAGCTTGATTTATGTGCTTAGCAACCTCATATTTTCTAGGTGCTTGTAGAATACATTCTTTACTCCTTATCAAGACTTCTTGATCTAGTTAGCCGGGGTTGGGACAAACGGATTGGAATAGCCTATTTTGTCAATGAGTCATTGCTTTCGTTCCGTCTATCAAGTAACATGAACTCGTAATGACATTCAAGCATATCGCTTTCTTATTCGATAAATAAACGTTCATTCTACGTCTAACGTTAGTTTTAATTTACCTTTCTTTTAAATTCTTAACATGATTTCAATAAAAAGTGACTATATATATTGAACATTGTTGAGTGCTCCAGTCATTGATTCTTACTCTTATTTGATCTCTGTAATCTTGTTAATTAATTAAATTCCACGATTGTACCAATTAGGATGAGTCATTTTCACACTGGCTCTTCTATCTCACACGCAACAACAAATACAAGAAAAGGCAACCAGTGTAGCAGCAGCCTCAGCAGCAGTAGGTCTCAACATACATAAAGGAAAAAGCGAAATTCTCCGATGCAACACAACATGCACCAACCAAATCACGCTTGATGGAGATGCCTTGGAGGAGGAAATCAGGAAGAAGTGGTGGAAGTGGATAGGACACACACTGTGAAAAGCGCCGAACTGCGTCACAAGACAAGCCCTCACATGGAACCATCAAGTTCAAAAGAAAAGAGGAAGGCCAAGGAACACATTACTCCGAGAAATAGAGAAGGATATGAGAAGAATGAACAAAAATTGGACAGAACTTGAAAGGGAAGCCCAGGACAGAGTTGGCTGGAGAAAACTGGTGGCTGGCCTATGCTCCATTGGAGGTAACAGGTGTAAGTAAGTAAGTAAATAAGTAATTTTCCCACTGTAATCCTAGTTCTACAGTTGAGGGATCAATTGTATGTGTTGTCGTTTCGTCTACAATCTGTTCTTGTCATTATATCAAGTTACTATGACATAACAACTCGTTAGTCATTACAGTGTGTCCCTTCAAAAATCAATTAATTAATTAATTAATAAAAAGTAATTAGTAAAAAGTATAAATATCTATCCTGACGACTCTAGGACTACAAACTTTAGTGTTGCCCAACTTGTTTTGATTCAGAAACAAATTGTGAATACTGAAAACTTACTTTCTTAAAAATCAATAAGATTTTGTTAAACTTTTTTTTAGCATCAGTAACAAACTTTGTATTTCATTTTATAATTTATTTAGGTCCACTACTGCTTTATGTACCTCAGAATCACATCTCATGGATTTTCGCAGTATTTCTTTGCTTACTAGATAACTTGTCTTTTTTTATAACGGGCCATCAGCCAACATTATCTGGAATTCCTTGGGATGCCGCTTATGCTGCTTATGAAGGTGATCATAGTACTCGATGGTTACCAGGACTGACTGTTCTCTTGCATTTGTATTCAGGTCCGATATTGATTGCTCTCAGTTTGCCTATAGTTATAATTTTGTCTATATTTCATCAGCATATTCATGGGAAAATGACCCATTCACATTTCAACAATAGCCAAAACACTGGTTTTTACGAATTTGTTGACGCTTTGGATTTATTCATTTGGAGATTCATTATCAGTAAAAGTATTTTGGTAAGTTCTCAAATGGTACTCTTGATAATTTTTCATTTTGTGATGAGTTAAAATGCAATGAATGTATCTATTTTTATTTACTTAACCAGTAGAAATATTTTTTCAGTTAAACAATATATCAAGGTTTTCGTTGAATCAAAACAAGACCGTAATAACAATCAGTAATGGAACTTCCTCATGCATATAACTTTCATGCTAGTTGCAAATTTCCAACAAGGTATGTTTAAAATACTGTCTGGATCAACTTTGGGGTTCGGGGGAGACCTTACAAATGGTAGTCGACTCCTTGTAGTACCTAAATATTCACACAAATCGATCGCTAACGCTGGTCTTTTCGGATTTGAATGCTATAGGAAGCATTAGTTTCCTCAGATTTTCCAATGACATTTACTGAAGGAAGTATTTTATATTTAAACTGCTAATATGAAAGCGGCTGTTGGAAAATGAAACTGTAAGTTTTGTTGCTCATACTGCTTACTAATGGACCAATTTTCGACAGTTCACATTGATCTGCAACTTTCATCATAATAAACATTTATCAAAGGTCGACTGTCCATATAAAGAACTGAAACTCTGTTATTTTCTTTACTCTACGATATAATATGAATTGTATTCAGTAATTACAGGTTTAAAGTTCATATGATGTCCTTTATACCTTTAAATCTCTATGCATTTTTAGTTACTATATTCTTGGTCTGAAATACTCCACTTTACAACTCAAAGTTGATTTTAATAATATATGAATAGTTAAGCTAAAAACATAGATGGAATGTGGCTGGCAGCGGAATCCATGACTCGCATATCATCCTACTTAAGACCTATCAGCAGGTTGCTGTTCACTCCGGGACTCAAATCAGATAGAAAGACAGACAGATACAACAAAGACCTTCGTACGTATGTACATCAGATCAGGTTGCCATACCACATTAGCACAGAGACGCAACTATCAGTTCAAATCGCATAGTGTTATAGGTAGTAGAAGTATTAGTATTAATGGAGAAGATTAGGGAGCGAAGATATGATTCGAGAAGTATAATTCAGTGAGATAAATTTAGAAGGAGAAAGATAGAGATAATGAGGAATTCAGAAGGTTAGAATTTGCGAGAACACAACGAGTGGACGCACCTGCGCCATTGCAAACGATTCTGAGCCATGTCGTCCAAGGTCTCTCTGACCAACGGCTATTATTTTCTCTCGGCCCCCAACCAGATAGCCTACATCTACCAATATGACTCAGTCCACTTGTCAGTGACTTCATGGATTTCTCTACTCTGCTCTTCACGAGCTCTAGTTAGACGTGTAAGTATAATCGAGGCTAACAATTTAGAAACTATATTAGTTAGACTGATTTCCCTGTGACTGTCACAAGAGGACAGTCAGCGATTGAGACCAGTCAGATGGGATTTCGCCTAATTCCCAGATTCTATCTAAGATCTCGGTCAATCTCACTGTTAAAACTGGCCCACAATCCTTAAAAATCTCAGGTGTAAGCCTATCCGGCCCTGCTGCTCTCCCTAAATTTAGATGTCCTATAGCTTTTTCGACTTCATTAAGATTCGGAGGGCTTACGTCGACTGGCCATTCAGGATGGCTGGAGATCGTGGGCAACTGAATTGTTGCTGAATGCCAGTTCAACTGATCCCAGATGTGTTCTCCCCATCTATCCAATCTGGATTGAGAATGAATAATAGTCCTACTCTTTTCCGAAATGGTCTCACTAACATTCGATTCCTAATACCGGTTTCCTTGTTAATTCGGAACAACTGTCTGCTGTTGCCTATCGCCGCTATCTTTTCCATCGCTCTCTCTTTCTCTACCTATCGCTGTTCGCGATCATTGCGTAGGCTTTTTATCAGCCTGCGCTTAAGCTGACTTCGCTCTTCATCATTTTCAGAGCCAGGTGGGGTGAGTTTCCAAGCGTCTGTCAGTTCGGTGGATGGTGCTGAGATCCACGGCTTCTTCCTAGCCTTATGGCTTACCTTACCAGTAGATACCACTACTGGATCCAAAGCCTTTTTGATATCATTCCAAGCTGCCTTCGGATAGGAATCACTTACATGGTCGCCTAACTGTCTCGAACTGACTCAAACCTCAGTCACTCAGTCATTTACAACTTAGAACTTCTTACTCAACTGCACTTAAAGTATCTAACAATCGGGTACTATTGTCTCGCGGACTCCAACAAGGTAGTCTTGTTATGATATTCATCAAATATCCCGAGACGATTATTCTTCTATCAATGTTACGTACTTCAATGTTGTTTCCCATTGGTCGTCCTAACTTTCAATATCGCAGACTTCAATGTTGTTTCCTATTCGACCTAACTGTATAAATACGCATTATCTGTAACGTTCCATGACCCGGACCTGGACCTGGATCCTTAGTCCGGGGATCCTACTTCTCTTCTGGACTCGGACCTCGTACTTTCTGGATGCTTGTAGAATACAGGTTCTACTTCATATCAAGTCTCTTTCTTTTACTCAACGGGTTGTTGTGACATGTTGTTGTAGCATGTCTTGTTGTCAGATCCTCGATCCTCAGTGCTCGCTCTCGTTTTCCAACTAAGGTAAACTCGTAATAGTTCAAGCATATCTAATTGGCATGTTTATGTGCAATCATAACAAGTCTACAATCACTAACATGACTTAGTCCACTTGTCAGTGACTTCATCGATTTGTGCCATGTTTTGGTTTAGCTGTCTGCTTTAAAAATATCAACATCGGGATAATTCAAACTATTTCAGATTGAATTAAATTTCGTGCCTGTTGCACATGTAAGTGGCTGTCTTGACTCAGTGGCTAAGTGGATAACTCGATGGTGTTAGAAGCAAACGGCGCTGGGTTTGAGTTACAGTGTCAACATCATCTAGCTGACGAGCCCCGAACATGACGAAACACATGTCGTAGATTCCACTGCTAACTACATTTTATCTGCTCTATGTCAACTTGTGCCATGATGGCTTTTTCGAGGCAATATGCATATAATGCCCACATGCCAACTTAGACTGATCAAATTTCAATCAACAAATCAACAATAGGATAATTCAAACCATTTTAAATTTAGTTAAGTTAAGGATTTTATGCAATGATGTTTAGCTTTCAAACCATAAATATTCATTCAAAGACATCATTCCTTCACTAAAATCACGAGTTGATCAATGTTAGACCACCGTTAGAAATATAGAACCACTGGGCAACCGTTTCGTCTCAGTGTGGAACCTAACAGTAGTGCTCAACCATGATCGTGCAAGCGAGGATCGAACCCTTTGGTCTGCCACGCGATCGCTTGACCTCTAAACTACTGATTCGGTATCCAGCTGTGTTAATGTCTAACTTCAATCAATCCACGATATTGTGCAACCTCATCTATTGTCTTCGGTAGGTTGAGCTCCACTGGTCTCGTCTCCTTAATAAAATTGCGAGAATTTCCTCACGAAGCTAGTCACTTGTTAGCGCATGATAATTATCATTAAAGTCTAGTGCAGATTATTGAGTTTCATTAGAATCAGTAGTCAGTCAATATTAGACCACTATTAGAAACCGAAGGTCCTGGGGTTCGACCCTGCATGCGGAGTGGTGGGTGCGCACTGCCGACGAGTCCCATACTAAATTGAAATGGCCTTTTAGTGCTTCCAGGTTTCACATTGATCGATTCATGATTTCAATAAAACTCAACAATCTCCACAACCCTGTAGTTACATCAATGTTTATCAATGTGAAAATCATCCTTTATGAAAATAATGTGATATATTTGTTTCTTTCAAGAAGCTTTAAAGTAGATTGATTTTTTTCAAATAGAAATGTAATTTGATAATAAATGTATTTATTTCTATATATATCATTCAAATTCTAGTGTTTGACTTGTTATTATATATGCATGGTTGAGAAAAAAGCAGTAGACATACTGCAATGCATTTAGTTTTAACGAATTCAATTCAAACAGATTTAATCCAATAATATCGTATGCTATTTTGATAATACTTTCGTCAAAATTTAGAATCATTATGAATATTGTTTGTTTCGATTTCGTAAAAAAAAAATAGCCTGAATGTAACGAGTAACGCGTCAATAAAATCTTAACCGTTGTATTCACTATTTGGTTGTTCAATATTTCGAAATCAATGGTTCAATGGTAACATCTTTGAAACTTTGTAATTTTTTTTTATTGTAGACCTTGGGTTGCATGCTTAGCACTGGTATATTGCGTCGTCATCTAATGGTATGGAAGATATTTGCACCACGTTTGTTATTTTCAATTCTAAGTTTACTTATATCAGTTGTATGTCTCCCGTTGATTCGTTTTTTAGTTGTGTGTTGTCTTCACAAGAGAATTTGTAAAATTTTAGAAAATAACATACATGTGTATTGTACATCATAGACTTATACGTTTGTCAATGAAATCATATATATTTTTTTCTCTGCTCATCATAGATTGATCTTATTTTAAAAATGCTTGACTTGTTGTAAATTGTTAGAAACTAACTATTTTGAATGTGTACTACTACATGCTGCTGTACAATAACTCTCTCACTCTAATTTGTGATACTACAATTTCATTTATTTCCCTGTTTTTTTTTCTATCGTGTAATGAGGTTATATATGCGTCTTCTGAAAGTTTCAATATTCATTATTCACAATTTATCTTTTGATAAAATCTATCTGCGTTTTAATAGACATTTTCACTGAGACAGTCTAATTAATCATAATGGCAAGCAAGAATTTAAGTAAACTAAAAATTTCAAATCTTATTGACAAATATTTAATAAATAAATTATTTCTGTATATCCTTAATCGTATTCAACAGATTGTTCATAAATTATTTGTGTATACTTTTAATTATTCACAACCAAAAAAAAAAAACAAACAATGAAATCTAGGAAATTACTACTCTATTCGCCAAGCTTTTAGAGTTTCACTATTGAAAAATCTTTTAAATCAAGTAGTAGCCCGATGTATATTCAAGTTGTATTCATTATCCACTATCAATTCACCAAATCGTCAGTGAAGTTGATACTTATCTCAAAATTTAGAGGAGGATTGATTAAACTGAAATTTCTGAGTATCATATTGAAATTCGTCTCAGGAACTACAAGTATTTCATAATCTGGAAGCTCCAACAACTAAGTTCTTTTGTGTTATTAATCTTTTCTAATAGCACAGATCTCTCAGCTTTATTCAGACTAGCAATTAAAAACTTTGTTCATTCATTTGAAACAGAACTTGTG